GTGACTCAAAGGAATGCAGCTTTAGTTTCAAGTTTCTCAGATCCCACAATGCAACAGTCTGTCCAGGAAGATCAAAACACAGTTTGACAAATTAAAACATTTACCCTTTATTTCATATATAGTGCAAATCATATGTCCAATATCTCTTCAATACCAAAAAAACCCCTATTTAATATGCTGATTTAAATAGGAAGACCCCTAAACTGAAACCATGAATTTAAAGGCAAAACACTACACATATGGTAATTCTAATTAGGTACCTTATCGGCTGATCCTGTAGCCAGGATGAATTCGCTATAAGGATTGAAAGACAGGCAGTTAACTTCAGCAGTGTGAGCATCCACAGAATGGCTTGGTTTGGAAGTGTTGTTTGAACGAGTGTCCCAGCTTAAAAAAAGAAAAAGAAAATTCAGCTTGAGAAACTGTTCTCTTAGGCTAGTTAATCACACATCATTATAAGTGTGATTAACAAAACCCTCTTCTCTTTATAAAAAAAATTAAATCCGAAATTCAATTTGAGATAAACGATACTGCTTTGCTTACATCATGAGTTTCTGATCATCAGCAACAGATCCAAAAAGAGATTCATGGAGCAAATGCCAGGAAACATCCTCCACCACAGCTGTATGACCAGTGAAGATAGTTTTAGCATCCACCACTTTCCCTTCCTTTGGAACAGCACTTATGTCCCACAAGCAAATAGTCTTAAACAAGGAGAGAAAGTATGTTTTGTTAGGATAATTTACTTGGCAATTATTACACGTAATGGGATGTGCTAAGCACATAACTACTCACATGATCGTCAGACGCACTAAGCAAATGTCCACTAAGATTTGGATTCCAAGACAGACCATAACCTTCTTTTTGATGCCCCCGAAGACGTAGATCTGGATTGCACTCCCCAGAAGGATCTACAAGGAAAGCAGTGGCTGAGCAAAAGCACAAATGTAATAAAATAATAATCACTGCTTCTTATTTTTTAAAAACATTTAACACTAGGAAAATGCAAATAGCAAGCATTTAACTATTGTGAAGTGTTAATTTTGCTTCAAGCTGGAATTAAAGCTAAGAAAACTTGACTAGTTGAACCACATAATTAAACTGAAAGTCAAAATCCTTCCCTATCATATGCTTTTCCTACTTGCCTAAATGCATAAATGTTATTTTCAAATAGTGATTATTTTGCATATTATAACATTCTTAAGATTATATTTCCAAACAGGAGATGAAAGACATGGAAATCGGCAAAAACCTGGTTTAGATGGATGTTTGGTATAATCAAATACAAGAACATCACTCGATGGAGTTTTTGTGGCAATAATGCAAGGATTCTGAGGCATGTAACGGGCTCTATTCACTTCTCCTTCATGGTTGATCTTTATTTCAATTTCAATTTTTCCACTAACAGATCCAAAGCCACCAAATTCTGGAAATAAAGATAAGGTTTATAAACTCCTCTTTGTTGCTCATCAGAGGATATGAATTGAGACAGAAATATAAAATATAAAAGCTAATGCAATAATGCAATACAGCAGCCTAAAATACTACTACTGATTACTAAACTGTGCTCAAGCAAATGTGACATTAAAAGCTTTCCTTTGATTTATCTAAAAATCAAAATGCTGACATTTCATATTTATGGTGTTACAATAGTAGTATTTTCTATCAGCTCATTTATCAATGTTCATTATGCACCTAATCCAGTGATGGCTAACCTTTTTGCCAAAAACGGGGGAAGCGTGGGGGGGATCATGTGTGCGCGTGCCCATACCCATAATTCAGTGCTCCCTGCCCCCCCGCACGAGCACACGACCCCCCCCGGCCTCCCCCCGCTTTTTCACGCAATGGCATGGTGGGACCGGAAGGCCCGTTTTTTGTCCTCCCCAGGCTCCAGAGGCTTTCTAGGAGCCTGGGGAGGGTGAAAAGAGCCTTCCCCACCCACCCACCCCCGGAGGCCCTCCGGAGGCCGGAAACAGCCTGTTTCCTGACTTCCTGTGGGCCCAGAAGAAAATCAGTTGGCTGGCACACACATGCGCGCTGGAGCTGAGCTAGGGCAACGCTTGCGTGCCCACCGATATGGCTCCACGTGCCACAGTGGCACGCATGCCATAGGTTTGCCATCACAGACCTAATGCATACATAACTGAATGATTTTAAACCCATTAGTCAATAAAACCAAAACAAGAAATCAGGTACTGCCAAAAAGTACACAAAAGATGCAATTACACAATCCATGTTTTAAACAATAGGTCTAAACCCACAACTAAAAGCTTAATTTTTCTCTTACCTCCCTTTTCACTATCATAATGTGAGGCATCAAACTGGGCATCATCATTGGGGAGCTGAACGCTGGCTATTACAAGGTGATTTTGCTCATCAGATGTATGGGTCCCAAGAACTAGCCGGTGAATACTGAAATCTTTGCCTTCGGGTCTGTAATGCCGTTAAAAATGAGATTGGGTTGAACTTAAAAGACAAAAAAAGCTAGACTAATTAAATAGGGTCAGTGAACACTACAAAGAAAAAGCATCCTCTGAGCGTTTAATGCACCCATAGGTAATAAGAATATTTTGCTAAGAAAAGCAAGAGACAAAAGCCAGATTTCTTCTGCTACAGGTCAATCCGCTATGGTTCCACTGGGTAGAAAAAACAAAAAGGAATCTGCTAGCAAAAAAATCTGTTTGCAAAATTCTTTTGGGCCAAGTATCATTCCACACAGGAAAGAGCTGTGTAATAGAATACCATCCGACTCAGAGAAGGCCAAGGCATTACAGAAAAGGTATGTGAGAAATAAATTCAAGCAACCTTGATTCACCTTAGCATTGTGAATTAGAGAGAGGCTTTTGATAGCTTCCTGTTACAACATTCTAGTTATATAAAAGCCTGTCCCAAGACTCCACATGATCCCTGTTTCTTGGCTATGCCTACCTTGAAGATTTGACCATTATTTCCCCAGGATCGAGTTATTTTTTCTGCAAAAGCTACATTTTAGATTTTGTTTTTGCCAAACGCAACTCATCCATAATGGTTTAGCAAAACTTGTGGAACAAGATTTAGTCTGATTTAAAATAAGTTTTACTTTTTGTGCTCACCTCTATTTGTTATGTTAATAAACAGTTGCAAAAGAAAATTAAAAATATGGCAAGGACTATTGTGTGCATTTAAGTCTTTACCCTTAATGAAACTCAATTCCATTCTATAGAACTTAATGTACTGTGCATGAGTATCTGGTAAGGAGGACTAGAAAACTAAATACATTTATAATTTTATGCTAAGGGAGGGAGCAAGCAAGCAGACTGCAAGAAATGCACGCAGGCAAAGATTATTGGCACTTAGAGTTAATAACAGCAAGGTCTTTAAGTTAAATTTATGCTATATGACACTTATAGCTACTCTTCCAGCATGTTTACTCAGAAGTTTCACTGTGTTCAATATTTATACATGCTTAAACTGTAATTAGAAAATTACCTGGTTACATCAGGAAGCCACTGAGCAGTCAAGCTGGGCCATTCTAAGGCATGTGTCATTACAAGGTCGTAAAGAAAGGGAGTATTCTTTTTCCATATTTTATATTCTTCATTGATCACTCGTTCCTCCACTGCATCATCAAAGGCAGCTAAAATATAACATCAATGCAATACAATTAATTTTATACTAGCATGAAAACAAATTATTAGTAAAGCAATATTCAGAATACGAGATAGAAGGGAAAAGGTACTTTTTATATATACGTCACAAAAGTATTTATGTACACTCACAACCTTATCAGGAAATGCAAAAAATCAATAGGCATAGGAGCACTTATTATCCACAGTATCAATATTAAAGTTCCAAGTCTTTTTCACAAGACAGAACACAACAGGAGGGGGATCGAAGTGTCATTTTTCTTTAAGGCTCCAAAAGAAAAGCCGATTCTGGCGTGCAGTACAACAAAGAGCTCCCTCCAGGCTAAGGCCTTCTTCTCCTCGGCTATCAAGCGGCAATGCTTCCCAGTCCGCTTCGTCTCAAGGAAAGGAACCAAGCCGCGCGGAAGAGCGAGGCCCGTTCACGGGGCTTCTCGCTGCCAGAGCATCCGAGGGGAGCCGAGCGGGCTGCGCTGGGCCAACAATGGCAAGGACTCCCCCCAGGGGCAACGGGGCTGCGCCGCCCAGAAAGGCCGAGGCGGAGGGAGGCCCAGCGCACGGCCTCGTCCCTTCCGCCCCACGGTCGGCGCCGAGGCAGCCGCGGCACCAGCGTTGCTGTCCCGGAGAGCGGCGGCGCGACTGCTGCGACGGCTCAGGCCGGCGCGGGGTTAAACTGCCGGGGAAACGGGGGGGAGGGGAGGGGGGGAGACGACGACGGCAGCGCCAACCACCCTGCCAGGAAACCGGGAGGCCATCGGGGAGCCCCCCCTCCCGCCCCGGGATTCCCCTCGGCCCCGCCGGCCCCTACCTGAGCCATCGGGCAGCCCGGCCCGCCTCATCCCGGCACACTCGCCGCCGCCGCCGCCCCGCCGAGGGATCCAGAAGCGCGGACTTGCCGCCGCGGGGGAAGAGTCGGAGCGGGCGGGCCCAGCGCGCGCGGCGCACCCTATTGGGCGGCGTCGGGGATAGAGGGCGGGGACAGACTGACGGGCGCCGGGATTGGATGAGGGGCTCTCCGCCAGGGCGGGAAGGGAGTGCAGGAGCGGGGCCTGTTCCGGCGGAGCCTTCCCCTCGGGAGAGCACGGCTCGCCTACCTTCCTTATCCGCCATGATGGCGACTTGTCGAAGCTGCGCGTGTGACGTCGCGGCTCCCGGTTTCCGACGGCTGGCGGGCTGGGCACGCCTCCACCGTTTGGCGAGGCCGCCGCCGGTTCCTTTGCCCCCCCCCCCCCGTTCGCCCGTCACCTCAGAACCGCAGCCGCGCGCGACGCGTTCGCGCCAACGGCAGCCAATCGCAGACCCTCACCGCCGCGGCCTCCTCCGCGAATCACGAGCGCGGGAATGGCGGGAGGGGGCGGGGCAGGGAAGTCCACACGCGCGCGCGAGCTCCCTGCCGCTCCCTCCTCCTCCCCCCTCCCTCCGCGTCAGCCGCCATTTTCGATCGAGGTCGGGTGTGGGGTGGGGGGGGGGCTTCTCCGGGCTGGGCTGCTCCGGGAAAGGATCCCCCTCCCTTCGGTCGCCAGTCATTCTCCCCTTTGCTGAGAGGAGGGGGGGGGTGTTCCCCTTTCGGGATAGCCGGTCAGGCAGAAATCCGGCCGGTAAAGCTGCTTTGGCGGAGGGTGAGGGTTTCGGGGCGAGGGCGGATCTGCTGGGACCCCCGCGCCCCACCGGCCGCCCAGCCCCCTCGGCAGCCTTTCCGGCCTCCCGCCTCGCTCCCCCGGGGAGCGGCAGCAGAGCAGCCCGGCCCATGGCGGACGACGGGCGGGACTACGGCTTGACCGAAGCGCAGCAAGTGGTGAAAGCCAAATACCCGGCCATCCAGAAGAAATACGAATGTGAGTCTTTCCCGGCGGGAGGACCGGCGTCCTGGCATCCGCCTTGGGGGACCCAACGGGCGACGGACCCTTCCTGCGTTTATGGCAAATGAGATCCAGACAGTACCACGATCTTTGCCTCCTTTTAATCCCATTAGGCTTCGCTCAACTGTAGTTTTTAGCGTTGCTAAAACAATAGGTTTCTATTTCCCAATCTGGGAAAATATTGCTGAAATTTTGAATTTGAGATGATTACTTTTTCATTAGCAAATCAAAATCCTTGAGTTTGAGGCCTTATTGTGGTTTCTGTGGATTTCACTTTGACTCTTAATTGATTTTATATATTCTTTTTAAACCACGTTTAGATCTGGATCATACGGCGGATGTGCAGTGAGTATTTTCACCTAAGCGTATACTCTAATAAATGGAAGGGGGAAGGCTAAGTTACGCAATGCCCATCCTTTCTCTACTCCTCAGGAAGGAGTTTTTCATGTCATAATTCCACATTAGTAACTCTAACCTTATTGGACTCTGAATATGTTAGACCAGCATTTTAAATCGGTCTACAAAGTATTGTACCATCTTAGGCTACTCGTTCATCTTGCTGCATACATTGTCCAAGTTCCCATGTTATATTAAACCATAAAATTTTATCTTGGTATGGTGTGCTTAATTAGATTTAATTAATTTAAGGGACTCTTAATTTGACTCCATTAAATTGATTCTATTATACCTTAGCAAATTTGTGAGTGGGTTGTTAGGAGTTAGGAAATAATGGCTTACAGAAATTATGCCTGGGGAAGGCAACTCAACTGATAATAGTTCTCTGGAAGCTTCTCCAGTCCCCAATTCTATGTGTAAAGGGGAGGAACCAAATATGGACTTCCTATCTGCAAAACAGGACTTATGTCCCTAAAATACACATCTTCCCCAAAAGCTTCTAGCTTAAATCCAATGTATGGGTTTGTACCTGTTGGAAGATTACATCTGCAGACTGGGAAGAAGAGTGGGTGGGGACAAAGGTTTTTTTTTAAAGAGCATGTTATTGTAGATGTCATTGTTGAGCACATTGAATACAAGCCACAGAATTAAAAAGGCTATTGAATTTCTATTGGAGATCTCAAAATATAAAACATTTACTCTTTATCCTGTGAGTCGACTGAATTGTCGTTTCTGATACTCTGGTCTTCAGATTTCTCATCTGTATATTTTATTCTGATGCTAGGACCACCCTACCAAGCAGAATTAATTCTGATCAACTTGTAGGTTGCATGCCTGGGGTGATACCTTGGAAGAGGCGTTTGAACAATGTGCTATGGCCATGTTTGGGTATATGACAGACACGGAGACCGTTGAACCTCTTGACACAGTAGAAGTGGAAGCGGAAGGTAAGAAAGCATTTTTGGAGCCTGGCTGTTCTAACTAGGCATTCCCCAGAAGTTTTTCCCCAGCCATGGGCAGGAACAACTTTTAAGAAGACTGCCTTCAATTATATGAGTGTTTTTAAAGGGTAAAGTAGTAGATGAAGATCTGTCAGTCAACCAGCCCAAAAGAGAAAAAAAAGACTCCAGCACCTCTCCACCAGTAATCAGCAACCAGTTCAACATAGATTAAATATTTAAGGAAGTAAAAGCGAGGTTTTGGCTTTCTTAAGAGTATAGCTGTGTATGCACAATTATTGGGCAGCTATTAATGTGCAGAATTATCATGCAACGAAATGAAAATTTGCCCATCTCGTTTATTTGCATCTGTTAAAGTGAGAAAAATAACTCAAAATGTACAAATAAACATTTCTGACATTTCAAAAAAAATATCAGCCACCCTTCTTTACAGTAATAGTCATGAGCCTTCCATTCATGGAGTCTGTCAGTTTCTTGAGCTGTTGACAGTCAACTTTTTGTGCAGCAGGAACCATAGCCTCCCAGACACTGTTCAGAGAGATGCTCTGTTTTCCTTCACCATAAATCTCCCATAGAAGAAGGGCTCATAAGTTCTCAATAGGGTTTAGGTCAGGTGAGAAAGGGGGCCATGTCATTATTCTTTCATCTTTAAGGCCTTTTACTGGCCTGCAGTGGAGTACTTCTATGCATGCTATGGAGCATTGTCCTGCATAAAAATGGTTGTCTTGAAAGATGCAGACTTTTTCCTGTACCGCTGCTTGAAGAAAGTGTCTTCTAAAAACTGACAGTAGGTTTGGAGGTTGATTTTGAGTCCATCTTCAACCCAAAAGGATTCAAGTACCCCACCTCCACCTTGCTGGCATCTTGAGTCAAAGTGGAGCTCTGTGTCAGTTACTGATTCAGCCACGGGCCCACCCATCTGGTCCATCAAGAGTCACTCTCATCTCATCAATCCATAAAACCTTTGAAAAATCTGTCTTGAGATATTTCTTGGCCCAGGCTTGCCGTCTTGTTCAGTGGTGGTCGGGTTTCAGCCTCCCTTACCTTGGCCATGTCTCTGGGCACTGAACACCTTGTACATCTGGGCACTCCAGGTAGGTTGCAGTTCTGGAATATGACAGCACTGGAGGATAATGGGTTCCTGGTAGCTTCACGTTTGATTCTTCTCAAATTTTTGGCAATTAAGATGTGTCTTTTTTTTCTCAACATGTTTCTTGGGACCCTGTTGACTATTTGCAACAAAACATTTGATGGTTCTGTGATTACGCCCCAATATCTTAGCAATTTCAAGAATGCTGCATCCCTCTGAAAGACTTTTTACAATTTTTGACTTTTCAGTCAGTTAAATCTCTTTTTTGGCCCATTTTGTCTGAGGAAAAGAAGCTGCCTAATAATTATGCACACCTTGATATAGGGTATTGATCTCCTTAGGCCACACTCTCCCTTATTACAAATACACATCACCTGATATGCTTATAGCCAAAAAAATATTCCAGTTTATATAGCTTGGAAGTGGAAAATATACATAAAAATATGGTCAAAATACCCACTTGCCTAATAATTGTGCACACAGTGTATTATACAACCATTTTTGTTAGGTCCGTTTCTTTTCAATGGTTTGTATCCTTCCATCAGAACATTCCAGTCCTGAGTTTCATCCCACCAAGTTTCAGTAATGGCAACTATATTGTATCTGCCTTCATGTACTAATACTTCAAATTTATCCTGTTTGTTCCCTGAAGTTTGAGCATTTGTGTATAGGCATTTGAGTCCTTTATGGGTCTTGGGTAGGTTTCTTATATCTCCTGCTTTGTATCTGGGTTTTCCATCATTTCCATCACTCTCTACTTCACTGTGCTTTTTCCTCCTCCTCCTCTCCCCTCTTCCCTCCCCACCTCCTTATATGACTGATTATCTAGTGGTTTTTGGTTCAAATTAGGTTCTAAAGGTTTTGAAGCTTGCCTCCCTCCCCCCTCAAGTTTAGTTTAAAGCCCTTCTGAGAAGATGAGCCAGTCGTTTCCTTGACTTACGACCACAACTGAGCTCAAATGTTTTGTTGCTAAGCAAGACAGTTGTGAGTTTTGCCCCCATTTAACAACCTTTCTTGCCACAACTGTTAGTAGCAAAACTGTTAAGTGAATTGGGCTTCCTCATTGTTTTTGCTTGTCAGAAGATCACAAAAGGTCATGTCTCTGGGCACTGAACACCTTGTACATCTGGGCACTCCAGGTAGGTTGCAGTTCTGAAATATGACAGCACTGGAGGATAATGGGTTCCTGGTAGCTTCACGTTTGATTCTTCTCAAATTTTTGGCAATTAAGGTGTGTCTTTTTTCTCTCGACACGTTTCTTGTGACCCCGTTGACTATTTGCAACAAAACATTTGATGGTTCTGTGATTACGCCCCAATATCTTAGCAATTTCAAGAATGCTGCATCCCTCTGAAAGACTTTTTACAATTTTTGACTTTTCAGTCAGTTAAATCTCTTTTTTGGCCCATTTTGTCTGAGGAAAAGAAGCTGCCTAATAATTATGCACACCTTGATATAGGGTGTTGATTTCCTTAGGCCACACCCTCCCTGATTACACAAATACGCATCACCTGATATGCTTATAGCCAATAAACATTCCAGTTTATATAGCTTGGAAGTGGAAAATATACATAAAAATATGGTCAAAATATACACTTGCTAATAATAGTGCACATGGTGTAAAATAGTTCTTCAAAGTTTTTAAAGACTTCTAAGCATAATTGTTGATTCCTGCAGGTAGGCAGAAAATTTAACTTTCTTTGCATTCAGTCCAGGACAGTAAGCAGAAGAAAGAATGTTTTAGCATAGTTAAGAACGTGCAAGAAAATAATGAGCCCTCCCAGCATGGTTCACACAAAGATCTCCTTTCATATCCTTTGCCCAACCTGTTTAGGGCGAGAATTAGATATGTTTGGGCAGGAAGGAGGAATTCTGCTTTGAAAATCCACCTGAGGTTTCTAATATATTTTTCCATAGGACATGACATGCTCTCCCTTCTCTTTCATTTCCTTGATGAATGGCTCTATAAATTCAGTGCTGAGGAGTTTTTCATACCCAGAGTGAGTATTTACTATTTTTCTTCTTAAGAAATAGGGATATTTTATATACTGGCTCTTTGCAATGATCTTGTTGACCTATTGAATTCATCTTTCTTATGACATTGAGGTAGAATCATAAGACTGCAACTAGCCAATGAGAAAATCTAAAGAGGAGTAAGAATGTATTTTGTTAAGGTCCCATTAGTTGCATTCTTCTTGTGAATCGGATTTTTATAACATCTATTTAGATTATATGAGCCATTCAAAATGCTGGAGCAGACTAGAATATCAATTTGTAGGCTCTAAGAAGTTACTGCTTCAGGTGCACCTTGATGTATGTAGAAAGTGGGGAATCATTCTGCTTGGATTAAGAATCCTGGTATTTGGAGATGCTACTGGAGCTGTGTGAAGCCTGTGAAGGTGTATAGATTTCGTACTAAGGTTAAATTCCTCCCTGTTTATAGGAAGTGAAAGTGCTTCATATTGACCAAATACATTTCAGGATACGATCTATTGGGTAAGTGAAATTATCCAGCTTAAAATAGAAGAGTTGAAGTTCTAAAATCTAAAGACTTTGTGACTTTCATGGAAGATTCTGCAAAGAGTTCACATGGCTACTAAGCGTCATCTTTCTGCCAGGTTTCTTGTTCACCGTGATTTCTCATGAACTTTTGGGAAAGAAAATGCACACCATTGGGATCAAATTTGTCTGCCTTTTCATCTGCGTTCCCCCACTTTTCTGGGTTGGTGGCTGGGGGGAGGGGGAGAAGAGGGGATGGTTTTGTGTGAGGGGCAGACACACATGCTTGCACAGATTGTCGCACAAGTGGGATTGCGATTGTGTGTGCCGGCCCGCCACTCACATGGACCGGTTGCAAATAGGCCTCAGCCCAGTAGTGGGCTGCGGCCCACAGGTTGGGGACCCCTGCTTTAAATGATCCAGGAGGCTTCCCCCTCCTTTGGTGATGGCTTTTTAAAAAATGCTTTACTTTGGTAATCTTCTACTGATTGCTTTCTTTTATTTTCAAGGTGGGGAGAAGAGTTCTCTTTGCAGAAGCATCCGCAGGTATGCTCTAACAAGCTTTAACGTAGTTATTGTGGACTAGTGAATCAGAGTCAAATCTGGCTTGGTTGAGCATCCTTCTGCATTGCAGGAAAACAATCCTTGCATTCCTTGGTCAAAGGCTCATAACTTATATCCTCCTGAAAGCTAACCTTTCAGCTAAAAGGAAATTGACTCAAATAACTGCAAATAGATTCCACTGAAAACAGCAACTTGGGAAAAAAGCAAGCTCTGAGTGGTTGGGTTCACACATTACCCTAAGTCAGAGGTCTGCAACATTAAACACTCAAAAGAGCCATTTGGACCCGTTTCCCCACAGAAAAAAAACCACTGGGAGCCACAAAACCTGGGTGGGCATGGCCAACTCCACTTCACTCACTCCTACCCAGTCACATGACCCCCCCTAGCCACAATTACCCAGCCAGTCATTAGGGCAGATAATCCACCGGGAACCACAAAACCCTTCTTCCTTCCCCCCCCGCCCCCAATTTCCCCCTGTATCTTCCGCTCTCTCCCCCCTCTCTCTGTATATCTCTTTCTATCTCTGTGTATCTTTCTATGTCTCTCCCTCTATCTCTCCCCCAGGGGTGAAATGTAAAATTTGTTACCGGTTCTGTGGGCGTGGCTTGCCAACCAGGCAACTCAGCTGGGATCATCAGAGGCATTTTTAAAAATACCCCTCTGCCGATCAGGCAACTCAGCTGGGAGTTGCCAGAGACTTTTCAAAGCACTTTTTTAACCACCTCTTCGGCCAAGAGGTTGCAGAAAAAAATGCTTTGAAAAGCCTCTGATGATCCCAGCTGAGCCGCGCTTTTTTTTTTTTTAACTTTTAAAAGCATTTTTTCTTCGGAAGAGGTTGTAGAAAAAATGCTTTTAAAAGTAAAAAAAAAAAGCCTCTGATGATTGTGCGGCTCAGCTGGGCATGGTGGAGGGGAGGCGCAGGGATTTTTGCTACCGGTTCTCCAAACCACCCGCCGCCATTGCTACTGGATCGGGCGATCCGGTCTGAACCGGGAGCATTTCACCCCTGCTCTCCCCTCTCTGTATCTCTCTCTCCCCCTCCCCCTCTCTATCTTCCCCTCTCTATCTCTCTCTGTGTGTCTCTATGTCTCTCTCTCCCCTTCTCTCCTCTCTCCCCCTCTCTGTATCTCTCTCCCTCTATCTTCCCCTCTCTCTTCCCCTCTATCTATCTCTGTGTGTCTCTATGTTCCTCTCTCCCCCCTCTCTCTGTATCTCTCTGTGTCACTTCTCACAGTCTCGGAAAGCCCAGTGAGCTCTCCTTGGGGCTCTTCACTACTCCTTTTCTTTCTTCTTGGCAACTTTTTGGAAATCCGGGCTGGCTGAGGAACGAGCGCAAGCTGCAACAGAGGCTTCCCTTTGGGCAACCCTCCCCCTTCTCCTTTTCTCGCGACCCCCTGGCCAGCTGTGGTGAGGCTGGGAGGGTGCACACGAGCAGGGAGCCCTCAAGCGAGCGTCCATCCGTCCCATGTGCACCTTTGCTGCGATTTGGACGAACCCAGCCGCTCGCTTGAGGAGGGTCTCCCTGCTCATGCGCACCCTCCTGGCCCCGCCATAGTGGGCCAGGGGGTCGCAAGAGGAGAAGAAGGGGTGGGGGGGGAGAGATACACACAGACATAATGAGAGTGTATGTCTCTCATACAGAGAGAGATACAGAGGGGGGGAGGTCAGCTGATGGGTGAGCGTCTTTGGTGAGGTCGCTCCGGTTTTTTCTGAGCCTGACCTCAGGTGGGCGTGCAAGGTTCGGCAGGGCCACCCTCTTTTTATTTTATTTTATTTTATTTTATTTTATTTATTTATGTAATTTATATGCTGCCCTTCTCCCGTAGGACTCAGGGTGGCTTACAAAAACGACAGAGAATTACATAAACAGTTAAAATCAATTTAAAATTAGTTAAAATCAAATTAAAATTATGAAATATTTAGACTCCCCCTACGGATTCAGCCCATATGGCGAAAAAGCCACGTCTTCAATTCGCAGCGGAAGGAGAGGAGGTCTGGGGCTATCCTGAGGCCAGTGGGCAGCTCATTCCAGAGGGTCAGCGCTCCAACAGAGAAAGCCCTCCCCCTGGGGGCTGCCAGCCGACACTGACGGCACCCTGAGGAGGCCCACTCTGTGCGAGCGCACCGGATGGTGGGAGGAAGGCAGGAGATGATCCTGCAGATATCCCGGGCCTAAGCCATGTAGGGCTTTATAGGTTAGCACCAGCACCTTGAAACGAACCCAGAGAGCCACAGGCAGCCAGTGCAGCTCACGCAGGAGAGGTGTCACACAGGAGTATTGAGAAGCCCCCATAACAACCCGCGCGGCCGCATTCTTTACTAACTAGTCTCAGGGTGCATCTCAAGGGCAGCCCCATGTAGAGGGCATTGTAGTAGTCTAGCAGAGACGTGACAAGGGCATGAGTGACCGTTTACCACTGCCCTGAGCTTAAAGCCACAACTGGGCGCTGCAGGCCTGTCCCCCTTTCCGTCATCCCCTCCCGGATCCCAATCCCACCCCGCCAGCCCTCGTGTTAGCGAGGCTGGCGTTAGTTATGGCTGGGTTGGGCCAGTGTCTCAGAGCAGAGAGCAGGTTGCACGTCTCTCCAAGCAACCGAGGCACGGCCAGCACCAACAAGGGCTGGAAGAAGCTCCAGCAATAGTGAGGTGCTGGAGAATCAGCCCCGGCCGCTCGCCCTTACCTTCTCAGGCCAGGTGAGGAGTGACTGGGAGGGGAGGAGCCAGCCAGTGATGGGACAGGCAGCCATAGCAGAGGGCCCAAAGCCACATGCAGCTCTGTAGTTGCGGGTTGCTGACACCCACCCTAAGTCATAGCTCATTTAACCATGATTTACTGAATAAGCCACACTTGTTTAGGTCCATATAACCACAGTTAAATGACCCATGTCTTACAAGCCACAACAATTAACAGTATGACTTGGCTTGATTTATACACTCAGAAACTGCATTTATTTTCATCTTGACTAGAAGGAGCCAAGTGAGTGTACACTCACTGCCTCCAGTTTGGCTAAGCAATGCAAAGGGATGCTGTTGCTCAAATATTCACATCTGATTTCTGAACTCTGCTCTTGACAAGGAAGTTTGAATTCTGCCCGAATAAACCATGGTTAAACATGGTTTGTTGAATTAACAAGTTATTTACTGTTTTCCCCTTGCTTGTTTATCTCAGGGAACAGAAGTCAAAGCAATCACGTATTCAGCCATGCAGGTCCTAGAAGAAGGAAAACCAGAAGTTTTTGTCATAATCGATATTTAAAGAAAGGTCCTTCTGCTGGATGGCTCCTCTGCATCCAGCCTTTGGAGCAACAGGAATTGTTTTCAGGAGAAGCACAGAAGCCAGTCAGTCCAGAAACCCAAAAGCCAGGAGGAAGAAGCTCTAGGTGCAGCAGCCATTGAGAAGATAATTGGCAGTGAAAGCCAGAGATGAAATTGTTAGCTGTTTCATGACAAGCTCCTTCATGGAAATGAACTAGGATTAATTACTTTCTTGTTTTAATTTTGCTATTTCCTCCACTTCCCCATGGGGAATATGTTGTTGAATATCCATTTGCTTTTGGCACTGATTGCAGCAATTCAATTACACTGAGTTTCTCCCCCCTCCCCCGCCTCCATGTAGCCATAAGAAATATTGGAAGATGTGGTCCTCATGCAGCCATCCTCCAGTCATGCTCTCCGTGATCAGGTAGCTGTGAAAGTACAGCTTTCATCTTCTGCTCTCCTTGATAAATTCTTTCCTAGCCTCCATGACTGCTTTCAGCTGTGTGGTGAGATAGCATCCGCACTGGTGCAATTATGGTTTGCATGGATGAGAAATTATAAAGAGGATCTGCTATTCACACTGTTGCAGATCTTATGGCATGGTTAAAACAAGTAGTCCACAGATATTGAAGAGAACACACAAGTTGCGTCATACAGATAGTTCTTGATTTATGACAGTTCATTTAACGACAGTTCAAAGTTATGGGCTCAGAAAAAGTGTCTTTGCAGTTACGACCATTAGTCCATGGTCATGTGATTGCATGATTTAGATTTCTCATCTTTCCAGCCAGTTTCTGGCAAGCTGTGTCAGTTTTGGAAGCTGGATCTCTTATCAACTGCAGTGGTCGTTAAGTTGGATCCAATTACTTGGTGACTTGCTTTACAACCACATTAACCTATGACAGAAATTCCAACCCCAGTTGTGATCGTCAATCAAGGTCTACCACTCAAATGTCTAAACCAAAATCAGAGCTATGGTAGTCTTACTACAGCTAAGAAATGTCTTACAAAATAATATGTAAAGCATATATATATTGCAGACACCCTCTGGTGGAGAACTAGGTTGTCGAGCATGAGCTGCATGTTTGAGGTCTCCCCAAAGTGGCTCAGTAGTGCTGAGGTCATGAGATGGACAGCCACTCCAGAACTTGCCCTTTTTGGGGAGATCATTGTCATGTTGCGAGGTCCAGGTGGTGCCCATGTGCAGTTTTGGAGCTGATGAATGCAAATTGTCCTCCCATATTTTCTGATGAGATGCTATGTTCCTCTTGCCATCGATTGGGACTGCTGCCGAATCTCCCCACCCCAAAGCAGTGGAGACCAACCTCCAGGCTTCCTGGGAGGGATGTGTTGTGACACAGGCCCACGTAGTTAATATTAAAACAGTTCCAAAAAACAGATTGTCAGCCTTCGCTTTTTCATTGCTTGCTTGCTTGGCTGCCATTGTAACGGGGGGAGGGGGGAGCTATTGGAATGTCTGGGAGGGGGAAGTGAGCTGGTGGAGAAGAGAAAGTTTTCTTCAGTGTTTTCTTTGAAGCTGATAACTACTCAAGGTCAACCGTTGTGGCATAGCAGGAGGATGGCACCATCAGACACTGCACTCCACATGACCCCTGGAGGGAATGTGGATTGGATAATCCTGACTGGACGGTTGGGGGAAGGGTTTTAGGGATGTTTTCTATATGTGATTTTTGCGCCTATTTCCTCAGACCTTGCTTTTCTTTGGTTGCATTCAGTTCATACTCAGTAAAAGTACCTTTCTCTATGAAAATGGAGTAGGGATTTAGAGTATTGAAAGGATGCATGCCTGACAGAGATTTTATTAAAACAACAGAATTAACTCATTCTCAGCGTATTCCAAATTAAATGAAAGCAAAGTCCTCAAAACACCATTCTTCAGTTTATCTCTGACCTTGGGATAATTAGGCAAACTGCCAAAGTTTTTTATTGGCAACAGTTCAGGAACAGAAGATGCTGATGAAATACATCCAAACACGAAGCAAATCTCTCAACGGTTGATTTCCGGCAAAGAGGCCAAGAGCCGTTGCTGGTCTTTTAAGCCTTATGGAAGGGGCCAATCATCTCTTGGTGCTACTCCCGAGTCGTCCTCTCTGCTTTAGCTGCTCCTGCCTTCTGGCAGCTCTTCTCATACGTGCACTAGGAACAGGCTCCTCCTGTTCTGCCTCTACTGTCGGCCTCTGGAGGCTCCGGAGTCCACGTATCACTCCCTGATGGCCCTGTCCCCATCTCTACCTCCGACGCAGAGCCTTCATCCGGGCCTTCCCCTGCCTCCAGGACTGGCCCATGTTCTTCCTCAGCCTCATTGCTGTCCGACTCTGCTGCCAGCTCTGCAGGCTGCAACAGGATGGTTCTGCGTCTCTCCACAGCCCTGTGGATTCCTCTGCAAGCATTTGTGTCCATTTGTGGCTATAATGATGATTTGGTTCCAGAGGTTTGAAGGCTCCTCCAGGTGCCGTCTGGCATATTGTAAGTGAGCTGCTTTGGGCGTTGGTGCAGCGATGGCAACTCTGCCCACGTCCCATTTTTGTTCCAGGAGCTCCTTGCGCCTGCTGAAGCAGCCACACCTCCGAGAAGCCTGTTTCCCCATGGGGAGCGCTTCTGGGTTTTTCCTTCCAGCAGTTTTGTCTGACCTACCGGGCTCAGTATTAGCAGAGCCCCTCATTTCCCATTTCTGGATCAGAGTTTGAGCGGCACCGATTGGCATTTTCAAATCTTTGTATCTCTTTTTAGATCCTTTTCCTGACTATGAAGTGGAGTTGCCTCTCCTCACAACTCCTTTTTCCTGGCTTCTCTAAGCTGCAAAGCTGGTACAGTCCTGGCTTTTTTAAAAAAAAAATGCACAAGTGTTTCTTGGAACCAAAGAAACTCATTGACTATGGTGTTAAAAGAGAAAGTTCTGGGTTCAAGTGAGACTTGGGTCATGAATGAGCACATTGAACAACTGTTTGAAGTGGAGGATGGTTTATTCGGCTGCTCTTGAAGTTGGCACAGGCAAAAGGGCAGTAAGGTTTCTAGTAAAGTTGTCCCAGGGTTTGAGAGATGGGAAGTCTGGTAAAGGAAATGCCATCTTTCCATCCCCAATCTATTCTTTATCTAGGTGTTTGGTTGTCTGGTGTTGAGGGGAAACCGTCTTGTGTATCCTGGGAGATTTTCAATGTCTTGAGGGGATTTTCTTTCCTATGATTAAGAAACCAGCATTTATCAACTTTGTAAAGGGAAAACAGCACTTTGAAGTTCAGCCTCCACCTCAATCTAGTCTGAAGGGCTTGTGGGGGGGAATGTTCCTCTGCAACCTTCAGCTTCTTTCTAACAGTCGTTAGCTGGAAGGTCAGGAGAGATGATCTGCCTATGGAACGCACATGAGGGGTGGCATGGATGACGTTTCCCCCTTTGATATTTCCACAGTACTCAGACACTAATTACACTGAAACTAGGCGTGGATACTTGCCCCTGACTACTATGCCAACCACTGCCCAGATAATCAAGGGTATGCAAGCTTGAACAGCTGTTTTATTGTATCCCTTATTGCTATGGTTTGTTTAATGATTGTGCTATGATGGCTTATGTTTTAATTTGAATCACATTACAAATAAATATATTTTATCTGCTTGCTCATGTTTACTTACAAAACGGTCACACGAGTGAAGGTGAAAATGGCCCACATCTTACAAATTTTGCAATGCATACGTAAGCTTACGAGCACAATTTATAAGACTTGGAAAAAATAACTGGTTTGCTACAGCAACCAAACAGGACAGGTACAGACAGATAATTAGAACTGCAGAAAAAACAATTGCAACCAGCCTGCCTTCCATTTAGGATCTGTATATTGTGTGGGTCAGAAGGAGGGCTGAGAAAACCCCCCCTCACATCCTGGACATAAACTGGCTCAACTCTACTTGGGATGCCACTATAGAGCATTGCAAGCCAAAACAACCAGACCCAGAGACTGTTTTTTCCTCATGCCATTGCTCTGCTGAACAACTAACAGCTCAGAACATCCTCCTCCATCAATAGGAGGGGGAAAGAGTCTCATTTTTGCCCTTGAAGTTGCCATCCCTTACGGAGAAACAAGGACCCTCTTGTCCCTGGTCCGCACCAAAAGGAAATGCAATAAGCACTTTCCCTTCCTATGCATTTTTAGTCTCTGGAAATCTGCAGGACAGCCAGAGGCAGCTCCAAGTGGCCACTTTCACAAACTGAAACTCCAGGAGCCAAAATCCCACCAAGATGCTGGGCCACCAGGCTGATACTCTCCAGTTGCATGAAAAAACTTCTGAAGGATGGAGCGGAGTGAGCCACAAATTGCCCATTTTTGCAACCAATCGTTTTTCCCCAGTAACAGATCATTTTCCTTCTGGAAAAAAAGTAAATTCTGAACTGATATTGATAAAGGAGAATATTTGTAGTTCAGGGTTGAACTGTGGGGTCCTTGGTACCCTCTAAGCTTGGGGGTTTCCTATAGACATTTCATTACTCAACTAGGTAACATCATCAGTGCTAGTAAGTAATAGCAGTAAATCGAGAGCAAGCCCCCTCCCTTCTACCACTGATGTTACCGCTGTGGGTAATGAAATGTCTGCCAGAAAACCACCAGGCTCAGAGAGCATCAAGCCCCCCCCTTTTCCTGAATAGAGCATACAGGAGGAGCATAGTTCATGCCTGCTGGGACCCAAGAAACTGGAGGCCAAGGAGGTCAGAGCCGCTCACAAGAACTATGGAGCCACCAAGCAAACAGTGGTTTTGCTGGGCTCCCAACAGGCAGGAGCAAAGATGGGAAGGAGGCCTATGCTGGAAGAGGAACAATATGTGCCCCCCATCCCCTCTGAAACTGACCCCAGGTCGGTAGAAGTGCCTCAGGCCAAGCTGAGTGTCAGTGGATCTCCAGCATGGGGTTCGACTTTGCTGCATGCTTGCTGTCGGGTGCCATAGTAATGGGGAGGGAGGGAGCATGGCATTTGGGTTGGGGAAGTGAGCTGGTGAGGTGAAGTCCCATGTGAGCTGGAAGGGAGGTTTACTCTCAAGAATTACTGTGCTGCTGAGTGGATTTATTTACACCCAGTCAAGGCCAACCATCCTAGGATGGGTGAAATACTTGAAGATGAGCGTCACGCATCATACTGGATGTTGATTGGACCCTCAGCACTGGACTCTGGGGGGGGGGAGGAATTTGGGGAAACTTTCAATCTGTAACTTTCACATGTTTTGAATCAGATCTTGCCTTGCTTTCGCTGCTATCATTTCAAACTCAGTAAAAGTACCTCCTCTCTATCTCAATGGAGTTGGGGGTTTCTTTTCTTGGGTTTTGAACAGAGGCAGGCCTGATATTGAGCTAGCAACATTTTTTTTCTGGGCCAGCAACTGGGCTTCTGACCTTCCCAGCTGGCTTCTGACAAGCAAAGTCAAGATGGATTCACTTAACTATGTCTTTGGCTTAAACACTGTGACAAAAAAGCTTGTAAAAATTAGATTCGACTGGAAGCGTCACGGCGAGACAGTCGGGGAATTAGTTGGGCTCTGATGAGCTCCGTGAAAACCCAGACTGACGAACCGCTGCCGAGGGGTCTTCAGACCAGAACCATCCTGTAGGGATGGGGAAGAGGCACCTCGGAAGACCAAGGGGAACAGGCAAGTTCCTCAAAGGTCAGAGGAATCTCTCTCCGATTCGGTGGCGGGGGTGGCAGCCATTGCAGCTGTCAAGAAGCTGGGGCAACCAGACTAAGTATTGAGCAGGAGCGGTGAATGCAATGGAGTTTTTGAAGCCGGGTGAGTGACAGCCAACTCACAGGCGAAGTAACAACAACAAAAAATTATTTTTAAATCTGAAACCCCCAGCGTAAGAACAGTGGCTAACGGGCATGGGGGGAGAAAAAGAGGATGCAAGTGGAATTTAAAGGGACAAAAACCCAAAAAGAAAATTGACTTTTGGATAAAATTATCTGGAAAATTTTAAGAATTAGAAGAAATAATCCCAATTTTGATTAAAGGATTGGAAAGAAAATAAATAGATCCTTTCTTTTTGAAGGCTAAGAAAAATAAAAGACAATTGGATATTAAGCCCTGCAGCAGAAGTGCTGTATACCTAAAGATAAAATAAAGGAGGGGGGAAAAAAGAGAAAGTGAAAAGTATTTGTTTAATTTGGACTGGACTATAAAATTGATTTGCTATTTTCAAAGTTAAAAAGAAGATAAAAGAAACTAGATTGCGAATGAGGACTGATACAAAATGGACACGTTGTTAAATAATTAAGAGAATTGTGGATTGTAGAGAGAGCTTCAGGAGAAAAAAGAGCATTGCAATTTTGAATCTTTGTTTTGGAAAATTTTGAACTGCATCAGTGATAATAGTCGTGAGAACTTTTGGGGAGGATTGCTTTGTCTGCAAACAGCTTGACTTTAGAAAAAAAAAGGAAACAACGGAATTTTTAAAACTGGAACACTATTAACACAAAGAATAAAATGGTGCAGGAAATTAGAGAAATGATGGAAATGATGTACTTGTCGTGGAAAACGGAAATAAGAGGAATAATTACAATGTTACATGGAGAATCGAAACTTGAGGATCCAAAAATTGAAATAGAGCACGCTCGTGCTAACAAGGAAACAAAGACACAGAAGCAAGACACAGAGACTGAATATAAAGAAGAAGATAAAGACGATGAGATTAATTTGGGGAAAAAAATTGAATATGTAAATAGTAATAATAAAAAGGAGGTTTTTAGAGATTACATTGGGATTAACAATGGAAAAAACAGAAAGGGCAGAAAGAGACAAAGAAGGAATGAAGGGTGGCATAGAAAGAATATAAAAAACTTAAATGATTACACTGGGATTAACAGTGAAAAGAAAAAAAAGAGAGGAAAAAGATGGAAAACAAAAGGAAATGCAGGGCAAAATAGGAAAGTCCAGATGTGTGAAATACAGAATGATTACACTGGAATAAACAGTGGGATAAATAGTGGGGAGATAAGAAAAGGAGAAAAGAGATGGGAAACAAGGGGAAATTTAGGGCAAAAGTGGAGAATTCAAGATTTTAAAATACAAAAGAAAAAAAGGAGAAAGAAAAAGGCAAAAATAAAAATGAGAAGGGAGAAAAAGAAATGAAAGAGAATGTTATATATATCTAGAATTGAAATATGAATAGTAATAAGAAACTAATGGGAAACCATATGAATGTAAAAATGAAACAATATTGGAATATTTGTTTTTTGTATCTGAAATCTAGATAATGACAAGTTTTTCTTTTTTTGAATTTCTGTAGAAATAAATGAATTGTGATTTGGAGGATTATATGGGCAAAACTGGTTTATTGGGAGAGTTTAATGACTTATTGGGAGAGTTTAATGAGTAACAGAAGGGGGGGAAACTATTTGGTTTATTACTATTGGTAAATATAACTAATTGACTTGTAAGAAATTGGATTGCATGGAAATAATTGGAAGATTTATGTTCATACTGGTTAATATACAAAAAAAGTTATATAATTAACTGATTTATACTAAAATGTTGGATTTATATTAAACAATTGTAACATTACATAACCAACTAATGTGAGGATAGATATAAAAATAGATGACAATGGGAAGGGGTAAAATATAGATAGAAGGGAAAAATTGAATTTGATTAGGATTAACACTAGAGATGAGAATGAAGGGTAATATTGGTTTGTTAAAAAAAAAAATAGATAAGGAATACCTATGGCAAAAAGGAAATATAGAAATTGTAAACTTAATTGAAATGACTAAATATTGTTTAAATTTGTGAACCGGCCAAATACTCTGTTCAAAGAAAATACATTGTATGTTTGTATGTGTGTTTGTCTAAAAAAAAAAAAAAAGCTTGTAAAATCAGGTGCAACTCACTTAACTTGCTTAGCAACAGAAATTGTGGTTGTGAGTCAAGGCTGACCTGGGGGAGGCCAGCAGAAGAAATGTGACGCACTCAGCAGCCGACCCTGCCGGTCACTGAATTACATACGCCCATTTCCATTCCAGCCATCGGAAGGGGTTGGGGATCTGGTGCCCAGCTGCTCCCAGGCCTGGATTCGTCCTGAGCCCATGAATAGGAGACATGAATGATGGGCTGTCTGCTAAAAAGAAGGCCAGACTTCCTGTTAGGAAGCCTTTAATTGTGGAGCCTGCCGGGCAAGAACAAAGAATGCTTATGTAGAGAGAATATGCCCATGAAAAACTTGTTATCAACTCTGAGTGGTTAAAGAACTGGTAACAATAACAAAAGCTAGATCCTTACTAAAATGTTTATTAGATGATACTTCTTATATATCTCGTCTTATCCCCCTTGCACTTTAGTGAAATTCTATAAAGCTTTCTTTATTCTATTGTTCAGGGTTCCTTGGCATTTTTGGCCAAGACCCCTTTTCTTGGAGCACTTCAGTAAAAGGAAACAAACCTGCACCTTGTGTCTGGTGTTCTTCATCGGCTTCAGCACCAGGCTCAGACCCGTATTGGGGACATGCCTGGATTTGATTGGAAGATACCGACAACCACCAGAGGAGGGCTCCCAGATGGGTAAGTAGTGACCAAAAGGTGTGTGAATGGTCTGAAGTGAGACTCTTGGTTGGTGACCAGGATTGTGTATTTCTGCATGTGTCAGCCGTAGCCCATCAGTTTTTGGCAATGACTGGGTACTGGCAAGAGACGTTGCAGGAATCCACTTGTCCCACCAATGCATAGAGTATATTGACTGAATGTAATAAGCCACTGTCTAGTGGTTGAGACACCTGGCTAGAAACCAGGAGAAGGTGAGTTCTAGTCCTGCCTTAGGCATGAAAGTTGGCTGGGTGACTTTGGGCTAGTCCTCTCCCTCAGCCCAATGCACCTCACAGGGTTGTTATTGTTGTGGGGAAAATAGGAGGAAGGAGTATTAGGTATGTTTGCTGCCTTCAGTTACTTATAAAAATAAAAGCAGGATAAAAATAAATAAAAAATGAATAAATAATAAACAATATTTTAGCTGTCTACTACAGTATCGGCTTAGCAGAAAGCTACATTGTAAGAACGTAATGATGAGAGGTGGATTCATTTAAGCTCCAGTTAGATCAAGCTATCGTTAAAATGACCTTGATACATCAAGATGTGGTATAGGTAGTCCTTGATTTACAGCAGTTCATTTAGTGACCGTTCAAAGTTACATCACTGAAAAAAGTGACATGATAAATTTTCACACTTATGACCATTGCAGCGTCCCCATTGTCATGTGATCTAAATTCAGACACTTGGTAACTGACATACTTGTGACCTTTGCAGTGTCCTGGGATCATTGATCCCCTTTTACAACCTTTTGACAAAGTCAATGGGGAAGCCAGATTCACTTAACAACCATGCTACTAACTGAACAACTGGAGAGATTCACTTAAAAACTGTGGCAAAAAAGGTTGTAAAATGGGGCAAAACTCACTTAAATACCTCACTTAGCAACATAAATTTTGAGTTCAATTGTGATCATAAATTGAGGACTACCTGTACTTCAGCTGCCAGAGGATGCCACTGTGAATTCTGGAAGTTGACAACCATTGTCTACAAATTGCGACAATTGGGAAATGCTAATTAGTATTTTTCAAACTTGGTAACTTTAAGATATGTGGACTTCCAGAATTCCTATGCTGACTGAGGAATTCTGGGAACTCACGTCCATGCATCTTAAAAGTTTCTGGGATTGAGAAATGTTGGTTTATAGAAAGGATCTAAGGTGGGGAATGGTGGCCTTGATTGGTCACAATCTGGCACTAGGATGGGATGTAAATATTTTAAATATATTCAAAATATGTTCACTTTGCATAACTGAACAGTATTGCAAAATATTTGACTGCCGTAGAAGCCAAGAGAACCAAAGATGTTGTTCCTCTAGTCTTCCATTGCAGTTGCCCACTTGACAAATGTCTCTGGCCTGGGGGACTTGTGGGGTTTTGCCCAGTGGTGAAATCCAAATTTTTTTATTACTGCTTCTGTGGGCGTGGCTTGGTGGGCATGGCAGAGGAAGGATATTGCAAAATCCCCATTCCCTCCCCCACTCAGGGACCAGCCAGAGGTGGTATTTGCCGGTTCTCCGAACTACTCAAGATTTCCGCTACCGGTTCTCCAGAACCTGTCAGAACTAGCAGGTTTTGCCATCTTATACAAGTGAAAAGTGTTTTGCCAGTCGTGTGTGTTTTACAATAAATAGCAACTAGATCAGGATCTCAGGATTTTCTTCCCCAGTGAAATTACTATTTCAGGGATCACTGAATCAGAAGGATTCAGGTTCATTTGTTTAGATCCCCCAAAATTCCTGGCAGCTGGCTGTGACCTGGGATGGATGATCCTGGCAGAGACGGAGGTTGGAAAGAGCAACTTGTGAGAAAGGAACCTCCCTGATCCCCAATAACAAACAGTGGGGGATGTTAGATACTCTGCCTAAGGTGCCAAAATAAACAATGAGGTTTAAAAATTTGTGAACCAGTGGTGGTATTCAGTTGGTTCTATCCGGTTTGGGTGAACCAGTAGCGGTGGCTGCAGGAGGCTCGGCCCACCTGCCTGGACATCATCATGTCCCATTTTTGATGTTCTGCACATACACGGAAGGCTCTGCGCATGTGCATAGGAGTATGCACTCACATTTATGAACCGATAGTGAAGGTAAGTGAATACAAGCCCTGTTGTGAACTATTTTGAATGTTCAATATTTCTTCGGACAAGTAATCCTTGACTTACAATTGGAGGCCTGATTTATAGTCATAAGTCATCGTGGTCATTAAATGGATCATTGGGTGACCATGCCTGATTTCACAGCCCTTTCTGCTGCAATTGTTAAATGAATCCATCTTATCCAATAGCCTTTTTTTCTGGAAACTAGAAGTAAATGCGACCAAACTGGCAAGCAAAACACCAACAATTGTGGTCATGTGACCACTGGATGCTGCAAAACAATTAGAAAGGCCAAATGTGATTATGTGACTGCAAAAGTGGGGGGAGAAGCAGCAGTCAGAGCTTCAAAATTAAACTCAATTTTGGGCATCCCTGGTAACTTCAAACAAACATTAAGTGAGGATTACCTGTAAATATAACTTAAAACATGATCTATTCTTCACACAACATACTTCCACATCTTCATGAGTTATGAAGATCAGACTTTAATAGTGAATATGTAGAAGCCACTCAGAGTCACTGCAACAGCATATAAATTGAATAAGTAAATTTGCTTAAATGTATTTAATAAATTCTGTTCTTTTTATTAATTTTTATTTATTTCCAATTTATATACCGCCCTTCTCCCTGAGGACTCAGGGCGGTGTACAGCCAGAATTAAGAACATGAAATACAAATATTAAAAAACAATTAAAATATATATAAATTTGGCCCCAAAATTAAAAATCACAAACCAATTAAAACATTTAAAAATTTCTTCTTAAGCCAGCCCGGCTTGCTGGAAAAAGTGGGTTTTAAGGGCACGGCGGAAGGCACTGAGTTAGATGGACCTCACACCTGATCCTCTTCCCACTGATTGAAATACCCAACTCTGATTTCCCCTTCAGATGAGCTGGGCAGGGTTTCCCAACCATGCTCTGGGAGCAAATTCTGGGAGTTGATGTCCACAACTTAAAGTTGTCAAGGTTGGGAGACCCTGCCCGAGGCTTCATGTACTTTTGCCACACACAAATAGGTGGCTTTAGATCATTTTCCTCAGTGAACAAGTATAATGCTTTTGACGGATTTGTTTAATTCTCTTTTTTTAGTTTTAGGACTTGTGTCGAGAACAGATCTCATTTTAAATCTATTATGCAGAAATATTGAACATTCAAAGGATTCACAAACTTTGAACACCACTGTCGATCACTGGCAAGATGGAGCTAAACTTTATAGTATCTCTTTGCTTTCATCTATTGGCCACCTGGTTTTTTTCTATTTAATTGCTTCAATAAGAGAGAGAGAGAGAAAAAAGAAAAACAAAAAGCACAACTGGAGAAAGGAAACCACAAAAACTCAGGAGAAGTAATCGTAATGACTTGTGTCACCAAACAGTGTTGGGCTAAATGAGAAAATACATTACCTCTCACAAGCCAGCATGTTGGTGCAGTGTAACATTTTCATAAAGTCAAGGAAGTGAACATGTGTGAACACAAGCATCATGAGGAAAAGCTGCACTACCACATGTGTGCTCAGGTGCTGGATTTGAAAAGTGTAATTGTTCTACCAGGTGCAAGGCCTGCTGAAAGGAGATTTGGGAATCAAAAACTGGTTTTGAAAACGTAACTGTTTTTAATAAACAAACGATGCTTTGGAGAAGATGCATGCTTGCTGAAGAATTATAAATTGTTGTCCACTTACTGTACATTCCTTTGAGTGTACTGGCCATGTTTCTAAGATAACACATAGCTGAGGTTACTGTCCGTGGCTGAGTATAGGCTGAAACACTGCTAACCTTTTCGTATTAGTGTTTATAGTTAAACAAAACTCTCATATTTGCAAAAAATTTAATTCAGTAACTGAATTACTATGAAGTTGTTCACTTTTATTTTGAAGGGCTTCCCAATTCTGTAAAAGGATTAAGAGGACAATTTTATATTATCAAAAGTTATCAGTTGCCATTTGCAAATAATTGTTCATACATTGCGCCATCTTGAAACGAAGGCCTCCTTATGCAATAAAATAGCGATACTTGGGAGTAGCTAAATTCAGAAGGGACACAATGGCATGTCCGTCACTCATGCAGTTGACCCCAAGCCAGGGAAAGCCTTTAGAGCAGAAAGCCTTTGAACCCTGGGCCAGCAAGCTGGGCGTCAATGCTCAAGACAAGGAATGATATATAATGTAACAGGAGGAGGGGGGAGACTCTATTCATGATCAGTTCTTCATACCTACCTGATATTGGGCTTTACATCTTTTTCCTCGGCTTCATCATCACTGTCATCCACTTGCTGGATAACCAGATCAGATGAGCCATCCTCTACAATCTCCACATCGGATCTATTGTCTTCGCTGTAATTCCAGTTGGAATCTTTGTCCTCTTCTAGAGGAAACTCTGGGGGCGGTTCTGTGTCCAAATCAATGCGGATGCTGTCGATCCCAGCTTCAGAGAGGCACTCGTTGCAAAGTCTGTAGCGTCTTGTCCCTTCCTGGACCACCTGGCCTGTCATTTCGGTGACATGACGTTTGCATTTTCTGCAGATGGGTTTGCAAGCTTGATGGATCTGCAGTGATGGGAGGGGACATTATTTATTTATTCAATTTATATCCCGCCCTTCTCCTAGTGGACTCAGAAAGTGCTTAGATGGAAATAGAATTGTGTGGCAATAGCAAATAATACTCCCTTACTGAGAGAATGACTCAGTTTAGTCCTAAATTAAATCAATTTAATCTAGAAAAGACTTTGTCTGTTTGTAAGAGCTGGACATAATTAGTGTTTGAATACAATGGGAGGTAAAAAAAAATGGCGCTGAATCATTTCTCTGTGGCTGTGAAGAAAACTTTATGAAGTTGTTTATAACATCAGCAGGAGTCAAGGTTGAGTCAAGGAAAATCTAAATTTCAGGATAAGAAGGACTTTCTCCCTCTTTTTTTTTTTTTAGCAAAGAAGAGATGAAAACAAATTACTTGTAAAGCAAAGAAATTATAGGATAAATCTCTTGTACAATTTTGTAAGTATATACAATTTTGTATATAATTACATAAGATACAAGGTGATATCAACAAAGTTATAAAATGCAAGGACAGTTTCAAGTATTGTTTTTTGCTTCAATATTATGTTTATATTAGCCACACATGCACTCCACCCTTTGCAAAATATCCTTCTTCAGAAAAATAACAGAACAGAATAACAGAGTTGGAAGGGACCTTGGAGGTCTTCTAGTCCAACCCCCTGCTCAAGCAGGAGACCCTCAACCATTCTGGTAAGGGTTGCAATCTCTTCTGAAAAACCACCAGTGATGGAGCACCTACAGATCCTGAAGGCAAGCCATTCCACTGGTGTGGACAGGGTCCTGGTTAAGATTAGTGCCGCCACGTGTTTATTGGACCCGTGTCCCTCCTGGTTGGTACTGGCCTCCCGGGAGGTTACACGAGGCTGGCTCCAGGGGATTATAGGTGCTTCTCTGGGTGAGGGTGCCTTTCCTGCTGCCTTGAAAGAGGCAGTAGTGAGGCCCCTCCTCAAGAAGCCTTCCCTGGACCCGGCTGAATTAGCCAACTATCGTCCAGTCTCCAACCTTCGTTTTGTGGCGAAGGTTGTTGAGAGCGTGGTGGCACGACAACTTCCCCGGCACCTGGATGAAGCTATCTATCTAGACCCGTACCAGTCGGGCTTCAGGCGGGGGTACAGCACAGAAACGGCATTGGTCGCGTTGGTGGATGATCTCTGGAGGGCTCGGGACAGGGGTTGTTCCTCTGTCCTAGTCCTATTAGATCTCTCAGCGGCTTTTGATACCATCGACCATGGTATCATGCTGCAGCGGTTGAGGGGGTTAGGAATAGGGGGCACCGTTTTGCGGTGGTTCTCCTCCTTCCTCTCCGACCGCTCGCAGTTCGTGTTGGCAGGGGGGCAGAGGTCGACCTCGAGGCGTCTCGCATGGGGAGTGCCGCAAGGGTCGGTCCTCTCGCCCCTCCTGTTCAACATTTATGTGAAGCCGCTGGGTGAGATCATCCGTGGTTTTGGGGTGAAGTGTCATCTGTACGCTGACGATACTCAGCTGTACATCTCCACCCCAGACCACCCCAACGATGCCCTTGATGTGATGTCCCGCTGCCTGGAGGCCGTGCGGGTCTGGATGGGGAGGAACAGGCTCAGACTCAACCCCTCCAAGACCGAGTGGCTGTGGCTTCCGGCGCCCCGATATAGTCAGCAGGTGCCATCGCTGACTATTGGGGGTGAATCTTTGCCCCCCACAGAGAGGGCTCGCAATCTGGGTGTCCTCCTGGACGCACGGCTGTCTTTAGAAGAGCACATGACGGCCATGGCCAGGGGGGCCTTTTATCAGGTTTGCCTGATTCGCCAGTTGCAGCCCTTTCTGGACCGGGACGCCTTGCGCACGGTCACTCATGCCCTTGTCACCTCCCGGTTGGACTATTGTAATGCTCTCTACATGGGGCTCCCCTTGAAGAGCACTCGGAGGCTCCAGCTGGTCCAGAATGCGGCCGCGCGGGTGGTTATGGGCGCAACCCGTTATGCCCATGTGACACCCCTCCTGCGCGAGCTGCACTGGCTCCCGGTGGTCTTCCGGGTGCGATTCAAGGTGTTGGTTACCACCTTTAAAGCGCTCCATGGCATAGGACCCGGGTACCTCCGAGACCGTCTTCTGCCACCAATAGCCTCCCACCGACCAGTTCGTTCCCACAGAGAGGGCCTCCTCAGGGTGCCATCAGCCAAGTTATGTCAGCTGGCGACGCCCAGGGGGAGGGCCTTCTCTGTGGGAGCCCCAGCCCTGTGGAATGAACTGCCCCCGGAAATTCGTAAGATCTCCGACCTCCGGGTGTTTCGCTGCGCATTGAAGACCCTGTTGTTCCGCCAGGCCGGACTATCAACACAATAGTTTTAAATTGGGGTATTTAAATTTATTGGGGTTTTAAATTTGAGCCACTTATTTAATTATTTTAAATTTTATATCATTGTTTTGTCTGTGTTTTTAAATAGGCTGTACACCGCCCTGAGTCCTTCGGGAGAAGGGCGGTATAGAAATAAAATTATTATTATTATTATTAATTATTGGAACACTGCTATCATGTCACCCCGATCCTTCTTTTCACTAGACTAGACAAACACAATTCCTACAACCATTCTTCATATGCTTTAGCCTCCAAACCCCTAACCATCTTTGTTACTCTTTTCTGCACTCTTTCCAAAGTCTCTACATCTTTTTTCTTTTAATAATATGGTGTCCAAAATTGAATGCAATATTCCAAGTGTGATCTTACTAAGGCTTTATGAAACGGTACTAATACTCAGGGGTGAAATGCTCCAGGTTCGCGATGGTGGCAGGTGGTTCGGAGAACCAGTAGCAAAAATTCCTGCCTCCCCCCACATGCCCAGCTGAGTCGTGCGATTATCAGAGGCTTTTTTTTTAACTTTTAAAAGCATTTTTTCCTGCAACCTCTTCGGCTGAAAAAATGCTTTTAAAAGTAAAAAAAAACCCATCCAGTCACATTACCCCCCCACCAAGCCACGCCCACAGAACCGGTAGTAACAAATTTTACATTTCACCACTGCTAATACTTCATGTGATCTTGATTTCATTGGCTTTTTTGGCTGCTGCTGCACACTGCTGGCTCATTTTTAAATGTTTGTCCACTAGGACTTCAAGATTCTTCTCACTGTTACTGCTATTAAGCCAGGTTTTACTTAACCTTTACCTGTACATTTGATTTTTCTTGCCTAAATGTAAAACTTTACTTTTCGCTATATTGAATTTCATTTTGTGGCCCAGTGTTCAGTGGTGGGTTTCAAAAATTTTTACTACCGGTTCTGTAGGTGTGGCCGGGTGGGTGTGACATGGCTTGGTGGGTGTAGCTTGGTGGGCATGGCAGGGGAAGGATACTGTAAAATCCCCATTTCCTCCCGATGGGACTTGGGAGGCAGAGAATAGATAGGGGCAGGGCCAGTCACAATTTTTACTACTGGTTCTCCAAACTACTCAAAATTTCTGCTACCAGTTCTCCAGAACTGGTCAGAACCTGCTGAAACTACCTCTGGTTCAAGTCTGTTGAGATTCATCTGGATCTCGAGCCTATCTTCTGAAGTGGTTGCTATTCCTGCTTTAAAGAGTGTTAGACTAATGACATGAAGTTAATTCTGAGGTACTGAGGCATGTGATATCACATATATATTGAATGTTCAATGTTCCACTGAAGTCTGGGAAACAGACCCCTTGTCAGTCAACAGGAGTTCTGATTTACCACCAGCTTATCAGGTACTTAGGAGCCGAAGGATTGGCTGCACAAAGAAACAACAGCCAACCACTTAATAGCTGGCTATCAACACCCCAATCAACCAATAACAAGCCATCCATCCAGTTGTTAAGGTGTATTTAGACATACCTTATTAGAATTGTTTTTGTAGCTTAACCAATATCCATGAGGGTCAAGAGCCAGCTATGTCAGTTAGTTCCATTATTGTTATATTTCCTTCTAACATCATTTCAATGGCTAGAAATCTGGGGTAAATTTGCCTTTTGCAAGTATCATGTGACATTTTCCTCCTCTATATTTTCTTGTTCATACAGTTTTCTATAATAATCTTGTGTAATTTCTTTCTTCTCTTTATTCCCAAATCTAATTTGTCCTTGGTCATCTATTAGCTGTGTTATTTTCCTTGATTCTCTCTCTTTTTTCAGCTTATATGCTAACCATCTACCTGGTTTGTTAGCATCTTCAAAATAGTTCTGTTTAACACTTCTAATTTTTTGTGCTAAGTCTTCTTTTTCTATTAATCCAATTTTATGTTTAGTTGTATCCATTTTTATTTTGATATCCTTCTTTTGTGGAGATTTCTGAAATTCCTTTTCGAGTTTCTTGTAATCATCCTCTAGTGTTTTATAGGCTTGTCTTTTCTTAATATTTCTTTTCCTTGTATAGTCAACTTTCAGAACTCTGGTATAAGCTTTCATTGTATCCCAAAGATTTTGCATCAATGTGTCCTCTATGTAAAGGGCTAAAAGCAACTTTTTATTTTTGGAAGGAAGGGAGGGTTTCCATCCATTTCTTGTTTTGGCAACAGGCAGACCTGGCATCAGGCTGTTTGTCTTTGAAAGTACCAGGAATGTTCAAGTATGATAAAAGATCTGAAGCTTTCATGAAAAAGTGACCGATTGTTAGAAAAACCTTGGGCTACCTATGTGATAATACAGTATATCTAGTTTTTGTGCAACTGCAAAAGACTACTAAAGTTTGTTCATATCTATTGTTGAAATGACAGACATGAGAGTTTAAGGTTCCGTTGTATATTGGTAAGAAGGAGTGAATCAGTAGCTACGGGATGGCCAATGGCCAATACTTCAGTGAAGACTGAAGTAATGAGATTCTTGATCTGGAAGAGTCTGCATTCTTGGGATGTATCTGTAGTACAGGTAGTCCTCAATTTATAACAGTTCATTTAGTGACCATTCAAAGTTAAAACAGCACTGAAAAAACTTGCTTATGACTGGTTTTCACATGACAGTTCCAGCATTCTCATGATTACATGATCAAAATTCAGGCGCTTGGCAAATACCATGTACCATGATTTTTCGGAGTATAAAACGACCTTTTTCTCCCCTAAAAGAGGGTGAACATTTAGGTGCATCTTATACACCCAAATGGAGCCCCTCCCAGCCTCTCAAATGGAGGTTTCAGAGGTTGAAAAAGCCAGGCACAGAGTTCACAACCAACTAACCTGTTGCTAAAGTTCACCTCTGGGAACAGCTGATTGGGGGTATTCCAGGAGGCCGATCCACCCACCAATCAACTTTTTTCTTGTTTCCCTCCCCAAAAACTAAGGTGCGTCTTATACTCTGCTGTGTCTTATAGTCCGAAAAATACGGTACTTATGGCAGTTGCAACAGCCCAGCGTTAGGCAATCACTATTTGTAGCCTTTCCAGCCAATTTCTGACAAGCAAGGTCAATGGGGGAAGCCAGATTTGCTTAATGACCACATGGTTCACTTAACAACTACGGTGGTTGTTAAGTGTGCATGATTTCCTTAACAGCTATGGCAAAAAGGGTGTAAAATAGGGCAAAATGCATTTAAGAACTGCTTTGCTTAGCCACACAAATTTTGGGCTCTATTGTGATTATAAGTCAAGGACTACCTGTATATGTAGTATAGCACCTCTAACACATTATCAAACTATACTTCATGGTGCCTGTGGCATTGCCATCAAAGCACCTGTAGAAAAGGCAGAGGCAGGGCTTCAGTTCCAACACCAGGCCCACAATCTTGCAGGTTCCAACCAGCAGAGCCTGACAGGCCAGAGCAGGGAGTGGTCATTGGCTCTCTTCTCCTGGATGGTGACACCAGGCGTCCTAGGCAGCTGAGGAGTTAATGGCAGGTCTTAGCCTTCCTCTGGCCATTATCCACCCCTACAGGACAGGTAGAAAACTAAAACTAGCCTCTGTGCTGTGGAACTGGCAGGGAAGTCCCATGGAAAAGGATATGGGGTTGTGTGTTTAACCACTTTAACTGGATACTTATTCCTGAATTCTGGAAGGGGCTGCTGCTAATAGAATACATAGACCAACAGAACTGATAGAAAAATTTATTTCATGATGAGATATAATGTTAATTCTGACATATTAACTGTATTTTATTTTTTAACTCCCAACTGAGTTGGGGGGTTAGTTGAGTTCAGCCCACAAGACAGAGCAATTTTGCAACTGAACTAAAAAAAATAACCCATCCAAAACTAAACTGCTGCTTTTCCCACTAATTCCAATTGGAATATCAATATGTGATTGACACTGCCTTGAAATTAGAGCAACTTCAGAGCCCTCCACCATGGCTCCACCAAGCTCCAATTGTATTCCTATTTGCTATTTAAGCTCAAGTCACTTTTATTGGGCTTTAGAATTAACATTTCAGCTAAACATACAAAATGGGATTTTTAAAGAAGCTGCATTGTAGCTGGTGTATCTCTACAATGCTGACTTTGCCTGGAGGACACATGCTTTGCCCATCTGGCGTTTCCAGATGTGTTTCACTACAACTCCCAAAATTCCTAGTTAGCCTTCTGTGTGTGTGTTGTGTGTGTGTGTGTGTGTGTGTGTGTGTGTGTGAGAGAGAGAGAGAGAGAGAGAGAGAGAGAGAGAGAGAGAGATACCATTTTAAAGCAAAAAAAAAAAAAAGTAAGGTTACCGTCCGAAAATGGCTGCTCAAGTGATCCAGCCGACTGAATCTTTTCCCGCAGGCTTCGCATGGGTACGGCCGCTCTCCTGTGTGACAGCGAAGGTGTCGCTTCAGATCTGCTTTCCGTTTCACCACGTGGGTGCAGAAGGGGCATTTGAACCTCATCCGTGGCAAGTCATCTGGAATACAAAGCAATCCCTTCAGCTGCAAAATCCTCAAGACAAACACCAACTGGCCTGAGTGGGCATACCGGTCATCCAATGGCTTTGGAAAGCATATAGAAAAAGCATTTTGCAACCTTGGTAACTTTAACCTATGTGGACTTCAAACCCAGGATTCCCCAGCCAGCAACTCTGGCAGTTGAAATCCACATGTGTTAAAGTTGCCAAGATGGAGAAACCCTGCTATAAAGTGTGCAAAGTGGTTGGTCTTTGTGTGCTTACTTGGCTGAATCTCGTTAAAGTGAGCAAGGACAACTTGCAATAGATTCTGTTGGAAACTGCAGGTGGTCCTCAATTTATGACTAGCTCCTTAGCAGCCGTTCAAAGTTATGACAGGCTTCTCCAGGGCTGCTTACAGCCCAAATTCAAAATTCTGATGGCTGCCCCACCCCCGGCCTGTGACTGCATTTTGGGCATTTGGCAACCAGCCCACATTTACAGCCGTTTGCAGCATCCCAGAGTCACAATGTACAACATGTTTTGCTGGAAATAGGTGTTTATTTTCCATTTCGGGCAAAACCAGCCCATTATGAACCATCGGTTCGCATAACAACTACAGCATTACAAAAAAGATAGTGAAATCAGATGGGGTCATGACCTGCCTAATGATTGGTAGAAACCAGTGGTGGGTTCCTCCCGGTTCGGTGACGATATGACATCACCAAACCGGTTCTCTTTGTTCGGGAGCTTGGTCCTCCTGCCCCCCCACCCCCGCGTTATTACCTTTTATTTGGCCCCACCCCCAATCTATTTGCTGCCTCCCGAATCCCAGCTGATCGGCTAGAAGGAAAAAAACTGTTTAAACTCTTGCCGCGGGGCTTCAAAGGGCCGCCTACAGCTAATCAGTATTAAAAGGCAGTGTGGTGGTAGACCAGAGTGCTCAAAAAACAAATGGGTAGACCGATGCCTCTCCAAAAACAAATGAGTAGACTGGAACGGTCCAAGAACAAATGGGTAGACTGGTATAGCTCTGCAAGCAGTTAAAAGCCTGGTAGACCAGTACCTCTGCTAAATCCTAAAGAATTGTCACATGACCATCAAACTACGCCCACAAAATAAGCCACGCCCACAGAACCGGTAGTAAAAAAATGTAGAACCCACCCCTGGTAGAAACCTATAATTCTGGGCTCAATTACAGTCAGGGCCACCTGGAACAGCCCGGCCCAGTCAGAGTCTGCCCAAGAGCTGCTCTTCCAGTGAGGCGCCTCCTTCAGGCTCAGCAGCTTTTTCACAGGCATCTTTTGTCCCCGAATGCCAGAGGCCTGTTCCCATCCCTCTCAGGGCCAAACTTGGCCTCTGGCACCAGAAGCTTTTTTCCACTGTTGAGTGAAAGAAACAGATTTGGGCAGAAAATGAGGTCTGTAGCTTCTCCCTACTTTGTTGGCTAGGATTGCCCGACTAGGAGGCAATTGCAAAGCTTCCTGGGTTTCGTCAATTTCTACCGACAGTTCATCCCCTCCTTTGCAAAGATCGCATTGCCGATCATCAACTTTTTAAAGACTAAGGGTGAGGGGAAACCAAAATCGGGTCAGCCACTTAAGTGGATCATGGAGTGCAAAGCAGTGTTTGAAAAGCTCAAATGACTGTTCGCAGCAGAACCCGTGCTGAAGCACTCCGACTCAGACGCCCAATTTGTAATTCAAGCTGATGTGAATGATGTAGCCGTGGGGACGGTGTTGTTGCAGAGAAATACCCAGGGTTTGCTATAGCTATGCACATACATTTCTAAAAAACTCACTGAGACTGAACAGAGGTGGGTGATATGGGAGAAGGAGGCGTATGCAGTGCGGTGGGCCCTATTCACTTGGCGGCATTTCTTGGAAGGGGCAAGGATGCCGTTTTATGGCTGACCATAAAAATCTGGAAGCCTTGAAAATTCCGTGCAGGCTATCCCCTAAACAAATCTGTTGGGCTCAACACTTTAATCGTTTCAACTTCACCCTGCGTTATGTCCCAGGGGGGAAGAATTTTATGGCGGATGTTTTTTTTTTTTTTTTAAATTGATTTATATGCCGCCCTTCTCCGGAGATTCAGGGCGGCTTACAATGCGTTAAGCAATAGCCTTCATTCTTTTGTATATTTTATACAAAGTCAGCTTATGGCCCCCACAAACTGGGTCCTCATTTCACCTAAACCATTTCACTAAACCATTGTACTATCAAGGATGCTTTGTCTAGATTGCCCCAATACAATGGTGTTAAAGCCGAAGTGGTCAGACTTGTTATCCCCTTGAAGCAGCTAACAGCCCCGGTAACCACTAGAGCTCAGGGGAAGGAGGAGTCTGAGATTCCAGATGAACTGTGTGAGAAGCTCAAAGAAGCACTAAAAGCTGATGAATGGCTTACCACTCACCAAAATGACCGCACCATGCGTGATGGACTGGCTTGGGTTGGGACCAAATTATATGTGCCCTCAAGCGTGAGAGACACCATATTAAAGGGCGTCCATGACTGTAAGTCAGCAGGACATTTTGGATTTGTAAAAACCCTACACTTGGTTAAGAGGCAATTTTGGTGGCCTTCATTGAAGAGACATTGAAAGCTATGAAAGCTGTCCAGTTTTCACTACGGCAAAAAGACCTCCGGGAAAACCCACAGGGCTTTTACAGACTGTGGCTAAACACCAGGCACCATGGAAAGAAATATCTATGGACTTTATCGTGGAATTGCCTGAAAGTGGGAGGAACACTGTTATTTGGGTTGTTATGGATCTTTTTTTCAAACCAGGTGCACTTTGTTCCTTGCCTCAAAATTCCCTCCGCAAAGTTGTTAGCTAAACTCTTTGTACAACACGTGTATACTTAGGTTGCATGGTGCACCTGAACACATTATTTCCAATAGAGGTTTGCAATTTACACCAGTTTTGGCAGGAATTCTTGAAGCTGTTGGGAACCGCCCAGGGCTTAAGCGCCTCCCATCACCTCTAAACTAATGGGGCTTGTGAGTGAACTAACAGTCCTGGAACAGTACCTAAGGTGCTACATTAATTACCAACAGGACAATTGGGCTGACCTTTTGCCTTTCGCAGAGGTAGCATATAAATATTCTGTGCATAGTAGCACGGGGTTCACCCTGTTTAAGGTGGCCTCCGGGCAGGACTTTGTAGCTATGCCAGAGCTGCCTCAAGAGAAACCGCATGTAACCTCCTTAGTGGAGTGGATAGCCCAATTGCAGAACACTTGGCCAGTTGCCCATAAGGCACTGGAAGTGGCATGTCAGACACATAAGAAACAAGCTGACAAAAAATGTGTGAAGCCAAAGGATTTTCAAGTAGGTGACAAGAGTTTACCTCTCCATGAAGTACTTACAGTCCACCCAACCAACTAAGAAACTTGGTCTTAAATATGTGGGCCCATTCCCAATTGTTAAAATAATTAACCCCGTCACTGTGCAACCGGAGTTGCCCAAGAACCTAAAGCATATTCACCCTGTTTTTCATTGCAGCTTGTTGAAATCTGACACTGTATAACCCCTTCGCCCTCCATCTGACACTCCTCTTGTACCCACTCTGATTGAAGGGGAACAACATTTTGAAGTTAAAGAAATTCTAGATTCCAGAAAACATAGAGGGAAGTTCCCATATCTCATTTCTTGGAAATATTTTCCCCCTGCGCAGTCCGAATGGGTGGATGCTAAACATGTCCAGGCACCTAAACTCCTCCAGACTTTCCATAGAAAATACCCCAACAAACCCTGAAGGGATCGACGGTTTTGGTGTGATATAATGTACCATATTTTTTGGAGTATAAGATGCACCTTTTCCCCCCAAAAAGGAGGTCAAAATCTGGGTGCATCTTATACTCTGAATGTAGCCCTGCCCAGCCTCGCAAATGGAGATTTCAGAGGCTGAAAGAAGCCTCAGAAACGAGCTTCAGAAAAAAAAGCCTCAGAAACGAGCTTCAGAAGAAAAGCCTCAGAAACGAAGCTTCAGAAAAAAAGCCTTTTTTTCTGAAGCTGTTTCGGAGCTTTCAGAAGCAGAAAAAAAAAGTTTTTTCTGAAACAGAGTTTCAGAAGTTTCAGAGGCAGAAAAAAAAGCAAGGCACAGAGCTCACAACCAACTAATCTGTTGCTAAAATTCACTTCTGGGAACAGCTGATTGGGGGTATTCCAGGAGGCCGATCTACCCACCAATCAGCTTTTTTCTTATTTTCCTCCCCAAAAACTAAGCTGCGTCTTATACCCCGGTGCGCCTTATACTCCGAAAAATATGGTATGTTGCCACTGTATAAATTTGTATGGCAAATGCCTCTGTTACGGGGAGCTGAATGTCAGCTAGCCTGATGCTTGCTGTCATAAAATAGGGAGGGGGGAACTGTGGAGAATTTTCCATCGCAGCTCTGCAACTGTGGTTAACTTCAAGGCCATGTTGTCAGTTGGCTCTGGTATGCAGTGACTTCCGAATGCCTACCCACAAGGGGCGGGGCTGTATACTGTATTTTTATTTATGCTGTTCCCGCTCTGGTGCCTCAGAGCTTGCTTGAAACCATTTTGCATTCAGTTTGTTCCTAGTAAAAGTACTTTTCTCTAAATCTATGGAGCCAAGGCTTTTTCTTTCCTGGGAATTGAACAGAGGCAGCTCTGACAGATAGGATCAAACATGATATGCTTAGGTTTTTATTATACTGTAATTATGGGTCATCTGTATTACTCGTCGCTCTGAAACCTATTTTTGGTTAAAGCATGGGTATAAATACAAGAAATGAATATGGAGGAAGGGGAAATTGTTTAGGCTTGGAATACGCAAAACACAGAGATTGCTTCTTGGAGATTGGAGAAAACTGGGTATGTCCGGACGGGATGACTGAGGCAGGTCTTGAGAGCGTTATCTGGGGGGAGTTCGATCCTGTGGCTCCCGAGGACATGGACAGGGTCCTGGGACGGCTGAACGCGACCACATGTTTATTGGACCCGTGTCCCTCCTGGTTGGTACTGGCTTCCCGGGAGGTGACACGAGGCTGG